GTATTTGCAAAAGGGTTCATCATTGTTGTCTGTACCTCACATATACCTCTCTATGTCTTCCTCTTCCTCATTGCTGCCATGTTGATCACTCACATTTGGTACATTGCCCTTCTCTTCATCCAAATCAATACTTACCTCTACCTGTCTAACAGTGTTTCCTCCCCTCCCATCCCCTCCCACCCCTAGTAACTAATAAAGAAAATTTCCTTCCATAGATAAACCTTTCCTTCACTTTTGCGATAACGGACAAATACAATATTTGTCCTTCTGTGATTGACTTATTTCACTCAGCCTAATGTCCTCCAAATTCATTCACTTTATGCGGTGTTTTGCAGATTCTATGTTATTCTTTAGGGTTGCGTAGTATTCCATTGTATGCATATACCATAGCTCGGTTATCCATTCCTCAGTTGATGGACACCGTGGTTATCCATTCCTAAGTTGATGGACACCTAGGTTGTTTCCATCTTTTGGCTATTGTAAATAGTGCTACAATGAACATGGCTGTGCATGTCTGTTCTGTCATGGCTCTCACTTCTTTAGGATATATACCTAGTAATGGAATGGCTGGGTCAAATGGCATTTCTAATTCCAACTTTTTAAGGAATCGCCATACTACTTTCCACAATGATTGTACAATTTTACAGTACCACCAGCAGTGTATGAGAGTCCCAATCTCTCCACATCCTCGCCAGCATTTGTTATTTTCTTTCTTGTTGAAATTTGCTGCTAGTGCTGGAGCAAGATGGTATCTCATTGTTGTTTTGATTTGCATCTCTCTAATGGCCAATGATCATGAGCATTTCTTCATATGTTTGTTTCCTCCTTGGTGAAGTGTCTATTCATGTCTACTGCCCATTTCTTAATTGGATTATTTATCTTTTTGTTATTGAGGTGTTGGAGTTTTCTATAAAGTTTAGAGGTAAGTCTCTTGTCAGATAAGTCATTGCAAAATATTTTTTTCCCAATCTGTAGGTTCTCTTTTGACTCTTCTGGAGAAGTCTTTGGAAGCACATAAAAATTTAATTTTGAGAAGGTCCTATTTATCTTGTTTATCTTCTGCTGTTTGTGCATTTTGGGTTATGCTTGATAGTATATTTATGCCATATATTAGGGCACCTAAATTTGCCCCTAGTTTTTCCTTGAGGAATTCTATAGTTTTAGGTTTCACATTTAAGTCTTTGATCCATCTGGAGTTCATTTTTGTGTATGGTGTGAGGTATAGATCTTGTTTCATTTTACTGCAAATGGATATCCAGTTTTCCAAGCACCATTTATTAAACATTCTCATCCCCATGTAATAGATTTAGGCCCTTTGTCAAAAATCAGCTGATGATAGGTCGATGGATCTATTTCTGGGTTCTCAATTTTATTCCATTGGTCTGTGTGTCTGTACCAATACCAGGCAGTTTTGACTACTGTAGCTGTATAATAGGATTTTAGAATTGGCAGTGTGAGACCTCCTATTTCGTTCTTCTTTCTCAGTAGTGCTTTGCTTATCCAAGGTCTCTTTCCTTTCCATATAAAATTAGTGTTTGGTTTTTCCATATCCTTAAAAAACATGATGGGAAT